CCAAGAAAAATGGGGATATCAAAGGAACATGTTGTGCAAGATGGACATGATAAAGGACAAAACTGGTAGGGACCTCACAGAAGCAGAAGACATCAAGAAGAGGTGGCAAGAATACACAGAGGAATTATATCAGAAAGATTTGGATATCCCAGACAACCGAGATAGTGTGGTTGCTGACCTTGAGCTAGATATCTTGAAGACCAAGAAAAATGGGGATATCAAAGGAACATGTTGTGCAAGATGGACATGATAAAGGACAAAACTGGTAGGGACCTCACAGAAGCAGAAGACATCAAGAAGAGGTGGCAAGAATACACAGAGGAATTATATCAGAAAGATTTGGATATCCCAGACAACCGAGATAGTGTGGTTGCTGACCTTGAGCTAGATATCTTGAAGAGTGAAGTCAAGTGGGCCTTAGAAAGTTTGTCTAACAACAAGGCCAGCGGAGGTGATGGCATTCCAGTTGAGCTGTTTAAAATCTTAAAAGATGACTCTGTTAAGGTGCTACAATCAATATGCCAGCAAGTTTGGAAAACTCAACAGTGGTCAGAGGACTGGAAAAGATCAGTCTACATCCCAATCCCAAAGAAGGACAGTGCGAAAGAATGTTCCAACTCCCATACATTTGCACTCATTTCACATGCTAGCAAGGTTATGCTCAAAATCCTCCAAGGTAGGCTTCAACATGTAGAAATTTTTATATATATACAAATAACGTCTTCTCAGTGTGGATTCTGTTGCTAAACAGTTTTATTTGGGAATTAGCCCCACTTGGTTGTGGAAGTCAATGAGAGAGCTCCAGACAAGGAGAGAAAGAGAGAAAAGACAAAGAGCATCTGGAAGTGTGGACACCACCCCATCTGACAAAGTTTCCCAAATGAGAAATCTACTCGAGAGACCAGTCCTTGTTTCCTTGGGGCCCAGGGCCTGATTCTAAATCTGCCTTATGGGGCTCCTCTCTTGTGGAATGAACAGAATCATCCAAAATCCTGCTTCTTGGGGGAATCTGGGGGTTGCAGTCAAACAAAAGGAGATTTTCCAGGCTCTGCCATCGCCACCGCCACCTCTTCTTTCCATGGACATTTTCTCCCTTCTGCCCCAGCTGTCCCCCCTCCACCACCTCTACTGTTTGGGGCTTCAAAAGCTTTCGAAAGAAGTCGGGGGCACTTGGTTGGTTCCAGTTCAGGTTCTCCCTGGGGAGAAATAAGAAGGAGCCCCCCACTCCCCAAAAAGACAGCAGCAATTTTCCCTGTGAACCTTGCAGGTGAGGGCGAAGAAGCAGAAGGAGCATTTTGAACCACCCTCTGGTCTCCTGCTTGGCAATTCATCTGGGAAGGAGGAGAACTGGGGAGGGGGGCACAAAGGGATCTGGTGGCAGGGGGAAGATTCCTGATAACTCTTCATCATACAGTGGTGCCCCGCATAGTGAGGTTAATCCATTCCGGATTAACCCTAGCTATGTGGAAACATCGCTAAACGGAACGGAAAAGCCCATTGGAATGCTTTAAACATCGTTTAATGCATTCCAATGGGCCCCAAACTTACTGTTTAGCAAAGTTTTCCCCATCCGGCAGCCATTTTCGCACCCTCGGTAAGCGAGGGCAGGGCACGAAAATGGTTGCGGTGGCCATTTTGGGTTGCGCGGTGGCCATTTTGGAACTGCCGAACAGCTGATTCCCCGGCATTGCAATGCGAAGATCGGTAAGTGAAACACTTACCGATCTTCGCAATGTGAGTTTTGCCCATTGGGGCTGCCGGTATGCCTTCGCATTAGCGATCCCCAAAAAGGGATCACTATGCGAATTCATCGTTGTACGGTGCGCTCGTTATGCGAGGCATCACTGTATTAAGGTAAGAAGCGATCCAGAAAGGACGATGTTGGCTGAAATGGGCATTTTCTTTTGTGGATTAAAGGGGAAACTATAGAGAAGTGAGACTGCGGGGGGGGGGGGCTGCT